CGCCAAGGCCATCGCTACCTCCTCGTGCTCGTCGATGACCACAGTCGGTACTCGTCCGTCTCTCTCCTTCGGACGAAGGCGGATGCCCCGACCGCGATCATTGCTTGGCTCGAGCAAGCCAACACCCACTTTGGCCGCCCTGTTCGCCGCCTTCACTCTGATGGTGGTGGTGAGTTCCTCAATAACCAAATTTCCTCCTACTGCCAGTCCCGCGGCATTCTCCAGACTCACACCCTCCCTCACTCCCCACAGCAGAACGGTGTCGCTGAGAGCCGTGTTCGGGAGATCACCAAAACGGCTCGGTGTCTTCTTGTCCACGCCTCATGCCCCCCTTCTCTGTGGGGCTACGCCCTCCTTCATGCCGCCCTCCTTACGAACCTTTACCCTCACCCCCTCCTCCCCTCCACCACCCCCACTGAGCTATGGACAAAGGACAAACCCGATGTCTCCCCTCTTCGAGTCTGGGGCTTAAAGGCAAATGTCCTCATTCACCCGTCTGACCGATCCCGCTCCCTTGGAAAGCTTGCCCCTCGTACCCTTCCTTGCGTCTTCCTTGGTCATAACCCCTCCTCCCCCGACTATCTTTTCCTCCACCCCCTTTCCGGTCGACTAATTCGCAGCAGAGATGTCGTCTTTGACGAATCCACCCCCTACTGTTCCTCCCCTCCGTCCACTGACCCACTCCCACCTCTAACTCGTCCCCTTGTCTGGTCTGACACCACCCCTCCCCCTCTCCTCCCTCCTCCCCCCATCCTCCCACCCCCTCCCCCTCCGCCCTCCCAGTCCCACGGTGCCCCTCCCTCGTCTGGTGACATCTTTGACCCGGACCCTCTATCCTCACCTGTCTCCCCCGCTCACTCTTCCCCCGGTGCCCCTCCCCCTCCCTCCCAACCCTCACCTCCCTCCCCCACTCCCCGCACCATACTCACCCGGTATCCTCACACCAGGTCACGTGACAGTATCCTTGGTGCACCGCCCCCTGTTACCCTCTCTACCTCTTCCCTTCCCCCTCTTTCTCCCCTCCTTCACCACTTCTTCCAGGCTGTCTTACATCAAGCCCCTCATGCACCAGCCCCCTCACCCGCCTCTCCATCATCAGCAGCAGCAGCAGCGGCACCAGCAGCGGCACTGGCAGCGGCAAGTGCAGCGGCAGCAGCGGCCTCCACCAGCAGCGGCTCCAGCAGCGGAACCAGCAGCGGCACCAGCAGCGGCAAGTGCAGCGGCAGCAGCGGCCTCCACAGCAGCACCAGCAGCGGCATCTGCACCGGCACCAGCAGCGGCACCAGCAGCGGCACCAGCAGCGGCACCAGCAGCAGCGCGAGCAGCGGCACCAGCGGTCATCCGCGCCTTCCACACCTCCCTCTCTGAGGACTCCCATGAGGAGTTCCTTGACCTCCACCTCCTGTGACTCCTCCCTCCTACCCATCACCTGTGACCTCTCTGGAACACCAGTCTTCGCCTTTTCCTCTGCTCCCTCCATTTTCGTTCCATCCACGTACGAGGAGGCCATGGCTTGCCCCGACGCCCCGCTCTGGCTTGCCGCCATCATCAAGGAGCTCGAGGCATTTATCGCCAACTCCTCCTTCGTTGATGTCCCTCGCCCTCCCTCCTCTACGAACGTGGTAAAGGGGAAGTGGGTGTTTCGCGTCAAACAGCTACCAGAAGAGCCGCCCGTCTACAAGGCCCGGTATTGCGCCAAGGGCTTCACGCAGCGGTATGGTTTTGACTTCTTCGACACCTTCTCCCCCACCGCCAAACCTGCTACCGTTCGCGCTGTACTCGACCTCGCCGCTCGCCTCAACATGGAGATCCACTCGATGGATGTCTCCAACGCCTTCCTGCAAGGCGTACTACGTGAACTGATCTTCATGGAGCGCCCAGAGGGCTTCCACCTCCCCTTCCCCGCCGACTCCGTCTGGCAGCTGCGCCGACCCGTGTACGGGCTCCGTCAGGCACCCAGGGAGTGGCATGCCAAGCTTGCTGCCACCCTTGCTGAGCTTGGCTTTCGCACCTCCCGCTCTGACGCCAGCCTCTTCCTCCGCACCTCCCCCTCCCCCTTCTACATCCTCGTCTATGTTGACGACATGATCCTCCTCACCGCCGACCTTGCCGAGCTCGAGAGTGTCAAATCGGAGCTGGGCAGCCGTCTCAAGTGCAAAGACCTGGGAGAGCTGCAGAACTACCTCGGCATGACCATCACTCGCGACCGCTCCGCCCGCACCATCTCACTCTCTCAGGGTCACTACCTCCAGCAAGTCTTGGACCGGTTTGACATGGCGCGCGGCAACCCCCAGCCCACTCCCCTCTCGGTTGGGCACCACCTCTCCCCACCCTCCTCTCCCTCTCCCTCCTCCCTCCTCCCATAGTTATCCTGAACTCATCGGCTCTCTCATGTACGCCATGGTTTCCACTCGCCCTGACCTTGCCTACCCCATCAGCGTCCTCGCTCGGTTCGTTGGCGCTGGCAAGCATACAGAAGAGCACTGGCAGACCGCCAAGCGCGTCCTTCGCTACATTCGTGGCACCAAGGACTATGTCCTTACCCTTGGCGGCCCTTCCCCTCCCCTCCTCAACGACTACAGCGACTCTTCCTAGACTGACTCTCGACCGGATCGGCGATCCTCTCACGGTTATGGGTTCTCTCTGGGCAGCGGTCTCATCAGCTGGCGGTCCACACGCTCCTCTGCCGTCGCCCTCTCCTCCTGCGAAGCAGAGCTCTATGCTGCGACCATGGCCGCGCAAGAGGCACGATGGCTTACCTTCCTCCTTGCTGAGCTTGGAGCCCACCAATGCTGTCCCACCATCTGGTGTGACAACGCCAGCACCATCCACCTCACCAAGGACGCTGTGTATCATGGGCGCTCAAAACACATTGAGCTTCGCTACTTCTTCATTCATGATCTCGTTGAAGCCGGCCACCTTCGCCTTGGCAAAATCGACTCTACGGCCAACCTCGCTGACATCTTCACCAAAGCCCTTCCCCAAGCTTCCCACTCCTTCCTTCTACGCCTCCTCGGCCTCACCCCTCCTCCGGTTTTGGCGGCCTCTTGGTTACATCTTCTAGTGTTATGCATGTTGGGGGGTTGTGTTGTAAATGTATCTTATATATACAACATACATAGGCTAGAATAGGTGTAGTTCCTCATGTTCTTGGGGGGGTTGGGTGTACACTCCAACCACACTTTGTGGTTGGTCAAGATTGGATTTGGTCTTGGTCCTTCGTTGGCACTTGCCAACTTTTGATGCTTAGACCAACCAATCACAACCTAGCTACATTGTGAGGTTTCCTACTCCACAAGGCACCTCACCCATTGGCAAACTTAGTGGCCAATAGGGTTAGCTTCTCCTCCACACTTCTCTTCCTTGCATATTTGTACTATAGAGCCTTCATGACTCATTACTCAATCATTCTTGAATTCTATCAGTTTGTGCTACCCGAGGCCACGGATCCTACTCTCCAATCGATCGATTCAACTCTTATTCTGACACAAGACGGAGAAGGGGAGAGACAGGGGGAAATAAGTCAAGAAAGGCCCTTACAGGTACAGCAGTGTTAAAGGTAATGGAGGAATAGTTCCCGCCAGCATGTTTCGTGAAACGTCACTGGCAGAGTAAGAGGCAGAGGCCAGGGGAGGAGGAGAAAAGAACACAAGACGCAACAAACAAGGAGGTTCGTTTGTGTGCCACGTTCTCCCCGCCACATGTTGAACTGACTGAATTGCTAGGCCTGATTCAGCAGATTGGGCTGGAGCGTGAGAGACATACTCAACAAGGTTTGTCTCTGCAGGGAAGCCAACCCACACGAAGGAACTATGGCACCGAACTAAGCGACCACCACAAACACAAACAGAAAGCGTAACAAAGAATATGAGGATCTTCAAATATATCAATATCTCATTCACCAATAAACTCTCCTTTCGGGTACTGTACACGCCATCGCCAGACAAGAGTCTAAGCACGAATTTCAGTTTTGAGCCGCCTCATTACTAATCTCAGATTCCACCACTCCCACATACACCATTGAGGTCTGGACCTGATGACGTCAGCCGCGGTCGTTACTCAGAGTTAAAGTCTCAGCCACGTTCGTGTTACTGCAGCGGGCGTTACTGCAGCGGGCGTTGGCATTACTGCAGCAGGCGTTGGCGTTACTGCAGCAGGCGCCTACTAAGAAGAACCAAGCAGACTAGCTAGAGGGTAAATGCCCCTTTTTCCCCGTTTGTTTTTACGCCTCTCGGAAATTGCCTCACTTCATCAGCTTCTCCCCTCCCTGGAGCCCCTTTTCGCACTGCCCTTGAAGGCGGGAGCTGGGGATAGCTAGCTGGGACTTAGATGTTGCAAATCTAGTGGCATTTGGGAGTTTTTAATCATAATAATACTAATAATACGAAAACAACAAACAAACAAACAAACAAACGCCTGCAAGAACAAAGCCTCCTTTAGCACTGCCCCAGGGACCTCTGGGATAGCAAGCTGGGACTTTGAAGCTGTGAGCCGGCTCGTATTGAATGTGTGCGTTCGTGCCTACCCTCTCTAGGTGAATGCTTGTTGTCGCTCGTTGATATGAAGGGCCATGTGAGGAAAGCCACGAGAGAACGAGAGCCTTACAAGTACTCGAATGCAGGCAATGTCGGGGACAAAGAATCCAGCAAGTTTCCTGACAAGTCCCTGGCAGAGATGGAGCAAGAAGGAGGTTGGAATGAGGTTTCAGTGCCATGCTTGATATTGAAGTGCCACTGCTGCCGAGCGACACCCTCCTTTGCAAGCCTCAAACCAGGATGAAAGGGTGCAGTGGACACGCAGACGCGCAAAGCAGTATGCATGGTGCACTCAATCAGTGAGTGGCACTTGAAGAAACATAATCAGTGGGAGTTTTTGTCAACACCAGTCCACTCCGAAGTGTTTCTTTAAACGAATGAAAATGGATCATTGGTATCCAGAAACACATGCACCCCAACCCACACGCGTGCGTCAACTCACGGGCGATGGCAAGGGGCACTCACGCCACAAATAATAAGCCCAGCCCGCTCATCTCTGCAGGCCAGCTGCCGCTCAGCTGGTTGTTCTGCAGCAGCCTGATGGGGGGCGAAGAGGGGTGATCGGGGGTGATGGGGGGCGAAGCGAAGAGGGGTGATCGGGAGTGATGGGAGGCGATGGGAGGTGACGGAGGATGGAGGGGGGGTTGAAGGGGGGTGATTTGAGGTGATACGGTGATGGCGGTGGTGGAGGGTGATGGGCGAGAGTAAGGGAGTGATGGAGTGATGGAGTGAGGATGTGAGCGGGCGAGGGAATAAGGGTGTGAGTGAGGGTGTGATGGAATGAGGGTGTGAGGAAGTGAGGGTGTGAGAGGGTGATGGGGCATGAGGGGAAAAGTGGGACGTGGGACGAGAAGACAGAGATGAAAGGGAGAGGGGGAGAAAAGGAAAGGAGGTAATGGGTGGAAAGGGAGGGAGTGGAAGTGGGAGTGAGGGACTGGAATGGCATGGTGAAACGAGTGTGGGTGTGAAATTGCTGCGCTGCACGGTGCCTTTTTGTAAGACACCTTACTTGCACCGCATGACCCAAACTGAACACATGCCATGCCATGACGTCATTAGTCAGTCTTCAAACCCACTCAAAGAGTTACGGGGGTGGATAATAAGAGTGACAAAACTTTGGAAGGAACAGCACGAGGGGGAAAGCACGAAGGAACCCCAGCTGCCATGTGTGATAATGGGCGTGCATGATAATGGGCGTGTGTGATAATGGGCGTGCGTGATAATGGGTGTGATAATGGGCGTGTGTGATAATGGGCGTGCGTGATATGTTAGAATATATCCTATGATGTTATAGTTGTGCTAGTGTTACACCCAATTCTGGGTGTACACTTTGTTCGAGGCGCCCCAACCACTTTGGTTTGGGGCACCCCAACCCCCCTTATGCCACAATTATTTGGGGGCCACTTTGGTGGCCCTTGCCAACCAATAATTGGTCCGCCAATAATTGGTGGCTCATCCCAACCATTATTGGGTAGCCAACAATGTTGGCCAACCAATAATTCTGGGAGCTCACCTCCTAGTTTCCTCGCTTTTCTTCTTCTATGTAAGCCCAATGTTTCCTTAATACAATCAACTCTTGAGTTCACCTATCATCCCAACTATGGGATTCTCACATGATAATGGGCGTGTGTGATAATGGGCGTGCGTGATAATGGGCGTGTGTGATAATGAGCGCATCGCAACTTCCCCACTGAGGACATGACAACAAGCGCCCGAAGCATGCGAATATTCATGCACCGATTTGAGGCGCACAGATGGAGATAGTGGTGTGGTGTGGCGTGGTGTGGCATGGTGTGGTGTGGTGCCGTGTCCTGTCGTGCCGTGTCGTGATGTGTCGTGTCTTGTCTTGTCTTGTCACGTTGCGCGAGTCGCGTCGTGCCGCGTCGTGTCGTGTCGTGTCATGCCGCGTCGTGTCGCGTTGTGTCTTGTCGTGTCGTGTCGTGTTGTGTCGTGTCGCGAAGTGTCGTGGGGTGCAGTGCGGTGCGGTGTGGTGCCTACAGCTCTTGAAGCACGGTCAGAGTGGAGAATCCCGAAGGTATGGACCCATCAAGCTGGTTGCCACTCAAATCCCTGCCATGACGCCATGGCATGAAGATAAGAAGAAACAGCATGAAGACGCGAGGAGATACGACACAAATGTACGCACACAACGGAGTCTGATCTCAACTGATTCCGACCGATTCTACAGCTCAACTGAGAACTATGGGCGCGCATTCCCCAGGCACTGAGGTCGAAAGGCAAAGATGCAAACAATGAGCTGATTTTCACTGGACTCAGATCCGATGCAATGTGAACCGCGTTGCTGGGAGAGAGATGGTGGCACAGATACAGAAAGTGGGGTCTTGTTGGTGCGCGTGTGATGACTGGAACGAGGATGACGGAGGTACATAAGGGGAAAACCAGAGAGTGGAAAGGAGAGAGGGAAGGAGAGAGGGAGGGAGGGAGGGAGGGAGGGAGGGAGGGAGGGAGGGAGGGAGGGAGGGAGGGAGGAAAGGGGGAGGGGAGGGAGGAAGGAAGGGAGGGAGGGAGGGAAAGTAAGAGGGGGCACAAATTGCTGGAGGAGTGCGGTGGCTCACAGGCCGGTCAAGGAAGAGAGTTTGCTTAAATCTGGTGGTATGCCCCCGTCTAACTTGTTGCTCCCCAGACGCCTGCTCAACATGGAACGGATGGGATGGATGGGACACATGGGATGGATGGGACACATGGGATGGATGGGACACATGGGATGGATGGGACACATGGGATGGATGGGACACATGGGATGGATGGGACACATGGGATGGATGGGACACATGGGATGGATGGGACACATGGGATGGATGGGACACATGGGATGGATGGGACCACGGGGGCATGCGCATGCCAAGCAAGACAGGCACAGTGGCACATGGTCACATGGTCGGATGGTCGGATGGGACTCACGAGTGCAAGGCTAGGCATGGCATGGCAGGAGTGGCACGGCAGCGATTCTCCATGGCGTGGTGTGAGGTAATGGCGAGGCGTGAAAAACGGCATGGCATGGCATGGAATGGCATGGCACTGCTTCGCATGGTGTGTGGCTTGGCACGGCATGGCATGGCATGGCATGGCATGGCACGGCATGGCATGGCACGGCATGGCATGGCACGGCATGGTGTGCTTACAGCTCCTGAAGCCTGGAGAGAACGGACAGCCCAGCAGGTATGGATCCCGTGAACTCGTTGCTCCCCAAATCCCTGCGAGCGAGAGAGAGACCATGGGAAGGCGGCGAGAACAGAGAATTCGAGTAAGCTAGAGGGAGGTAAAAGGGTTTTGATGAACAAGCGGCAAACCGGTGCTGGGGATTGTGTGTGCGACTTGGTGGCTCATGACCAAGTAATCTTATGTCTTTATGACTTTATGTCCTTATGACCTTATGTCCTTATGACTTTATGTCCTTATGACTTTATGTCCTTATGATATGACCTTATGTCCTTATGTCCTAATCATGGTGACCTAAGTTGGTCATTTACGTCCTGGAGGCCCACGTACACGTAAAGTACGCGTAAACGTACACGTACGCATACGTACATGTACTTACGTTTACTTACTTCGGGTAGGTACAAAATTTTCTCGATTTCACTTTTTCTTTGCCTTTGTTCGCGTGAGGTCTAGGTCGTAGTAGTGTTAGTAAAGACGTGATTTTAGAATACTCGTTTATGCTCATTGCGAGTAAAATGGGGCAGCACAGAAAAAGTTTTTACCTGATCGTACATAAGGGCATAATTCGGGAGGTGCGTAACGTACGAAAACGTAACCGTACGTAACGTACACGTAAACGTAAAGAACCAACTAAGATGGTGACTACCACATTACAGGCAAGATGACTTTGTGAAGATGCAGAGAGCAGAGGGTGTGAAGAATAAGCATTGCTGGAATAAAAGGATTGAGCAGGGGGGTGGGGAGAAGAGGAGAATGAGAGGAACGGAAAGGGGGGAAAGGGAGAAGGAAGGGGATAGGAGGGGAGGGCGGAACAAGTGGGGAAGGATTCAAGCGTACAGTGACGTGAGAGTTGAGAGGGAGGTGATGTATATTGGAATGGTACCAGAAAGCTGGTTGTCTCTGAGGGATCTGTTGAGGGCGCAGGATACACATGCACACAACACAAAAATGCAGATGTGCATGCATGCACGCACGCACGCGCGCGCGCACACACACACACACACACACACACCAGACAGTAACGCACAGGCGCACACGCGAGCATGCACACAGGCATGCGCAAGCAAGCATATGAGAATCAATAGGCACTACATATGCAGCATGTACATAGGTGGTACCAGCGCAATGATCTGCTCATTCCGCTTCCCTCCTCGACCCACTACAGCACTGCACTCACAGCACCCACTGCACCCACAGCACCCACAGCACAGCACTGCCCAGGAGCTACTGGCACTCACAGCAGTTGCAGGGCGCCGAGCCCTGTGATGGCCATTGGGATGGACCCTGTGAGGTTCTGCGAGTCCAACACCCTGCACACACCACAAGGTACACGAGGGAGGAGATGAGATGAGATGAGATGAGGGACACGGGAAGAAAAGGGGGAGGCGCGGCGCATACACATGGGGACTCCGAGGGCACATGAAGACTTCGATGAGCGGAAGATGGCAGGCTACCAAGAGGCATCACTGGAAGGGAAGGCGGTAAAAGGACACGGTTACCAAACTGCATTTCACTGCACCCCACAAAACCGCACTCAACTAGACCGAACTGCACTGCACTGCACTCGAGCTGCTGAGCCCATTGCAGGCACGGCACCCCACACTCTGCACGAATAACTGTCTGCACTACACGCGCCACCTCTAGCTCAGCGCGTAAATGACACTCAAGGTGGGCAACACTCCAGGCACAGCAAGGCAAGGCAATTCCAAGGCAAGTCCTTGTAATCAGCACGCCAGGGTGGGAGGAGGAGCAGGAGGAGGAGGAGGAGGAGGAGGAGGAGGAGGAGGAGGAGGAGGAGGAGGAGGAGGAGGAGGAGGAGGAGGAGGAGGAGGAGGAGGAGGAGGAGGAGGAGGAGGAGGAGGAGGAGGAGGAGGAGGCAGGCAGACAGACAACGAGGCAGGCAGGCAGGAAGGGAGGGCGGCACGCGAGCAGGGAGGAAGGCAGGATGGCAGGAAGGCAACTGACAGGCCCTGGATGAGCTGGCCGCTGAAGTCACAGAGCACGCCCGCCAGCGTCCCACACATCGCGTCCGCGGCCCACGTTGCCGCTGCTGGGAACGCTCCCCCCAACGCCTGCTTCAGCGCATCCAGGGCTTGCCCTGAGGGGTGTGGGGGAGTGCGCAGGGGCGGGGGCGGGGGGTGAGGGGAGAGGAGGGGTGGGGGAGAGAATGCCGGTTTTTGAGGCGCCTCAAACATCGCTCCTGCTGTTCACGTCGCCGCTGCTGGGAACGCTACCCCCAACGCCTGCTTCAGCGCATCCAGGGGCTTGCTCTGAGGGATGTGGGGGAGTGCGCGGGGGAAGTGAGGGGAGAGGTGGGGTGTGGGAGAGGGAGACGGAGATGTGGGGTCGGGGAGACGGAGGCTTGAGAGGTTGGGTGGGGGGGAGAGAGACGGGAGAGATGGGGTGGGTGAGAGAGTGGAGGGGGGGTTCGGGTGGGAGGGAGAGAGGGAGAGAGGGGGAGAGGGGGAGAGGGGGAGAGGGGGAGGGGGAGAGGGGGAGAGGGGGAGGACAATTAAGGACTGCTTGAGAGGGGGAGGAGGCGTGGAAGAGGTGGGGGGACGTCGGATAGACAGAGGTGGCGGAGGGGGAGGAGACGAGGAAATAGGCACGGGGAGGAAAGGAAGACGGGGGGAAGGAGACTAGGAGGAGGAGGAACAGAAGGGGGCGGAGAAACGTAATGCTAAAAGAACATACATTGGCTTGCCGGGAGGGACGCTGCAACCGGCCGGCAAAAACGGACGCTGCTGCTGAGAAGAGAAGCCACGGCAAACACAGCCGCCCACACGTGCCACGAGAGCAGAGGTCCGTGCGCAAACCCCCCTGCTGGAACCCTCCTCCATGCTCGTCCGCGCTGCAGCGGCTGCGCTCTGGACCGCTCCCCACCTCTCTGTACCCCCTCTGAATTTCTCTCCCTGGATCCAAACGCGCTGCTAGCTGGTTGCCTGCTGTCAGCCTGCCGATGACGATGCGTGGCAGAGAAAGAAATCCCTCGAACCTTCTCCTTTCGGTTCGACTCAAAGCCAATCTGTGTCGCCTGCTGCTGATGAGCCAAGGCAGAAGGCGAGTCTTGCCTGCCGTTTCTTCCAAAGGGATGTGCGGCCTCCCGCACTGCCTTGCTACAAGCTGCTTCGGTACTGCTGCAAACAACCAAAGGAGCATCACGAGGAGGAGCACACCAACCACTAGCAGCACACTGGCTCCTACACCTGCATCTTCTACTCCGGCTGCTATTAACACAACTGGTACCGTTGCTAACACTTGCACTGAGGCCGCTGTGAGTGGCACTCACACTGCCACCGCTGCCAGCACTGCCACCGGTGCCACCAGGACACCCTATGCGCGCACTCCCCTTTCTTCTGCTGCTGCCGCCGCTTCCGACCTCTGCGCGCCCCTCTCCAACCATGCCGCCGAGAACAGTCTCTGCTGCCTCTCCCTCGCTGCCGCCGTGCCCTGTGCCCCGGATTCCCACGCCCTGTGCTTCAGGGGCGAGAATGAGAGTCTGTGTGTGTGAGGGACAGGGGAAGGGAGGTGAGGGGAGGGAAGGGACAGGGGAGGGGAGTAACAAATGAGGGCAGGGAGTGAGATGGCGGATGACGTGAGGTGGAGCGGGAGGGTGGGGGGAGAGGGGAGAGGGAGGTGGGGAGGTTTGCTGTGAGGATGCGGGATTGTGATGACTGGGAGTGTGGGCAGTACGGCGCTACGGGCACAACGTGCGGAGTTCTCAAGAATCCCGGATGAGAAGGTGCAGGGTTAAGAATAGAAGATGGGCGAGGAGCGGGATGGGTGAGAAGAGGAGGTGGGTGAGGTGCGGGAGAGACACGGGATGCTCAAAGCGCCGCAAAAGGGCGAGACAGCGTTTGAAACGCTGACGCGAACAGCGAGAAAGAATCGTGTGCGAGGTGCCTCTAGCATAAAGCTTCTCGCGCTCGCCATCATTCGCCGTCGCATTCGCAGTCACAAAAGCGCAAGTCGCACCCGCACTCACTCGCACTCGCGTTCGCAGTCGCAGTCGCAGTCGCACTCGCACTCGCACTCGCGTTCGCAATAGCAGTCCCATTCGGTTCGCGGCCTTGGGTAACCGTGGTACACGATCGAGGCGCCTCAAACATAGCAGTTGCATGCGGTTCGCAGCCTCGGGCAACCGTGATAAGAAGCTTTTGCGCCTCTGCGCGACTGAGCTGCCACTAAGCTCTCTACTGCTACCAGCAGTAACACGCATGCCTGCCCTTCGTCGTATATTTAGAACAAAATCTTCTGCCTTTCTTGCAGCCGGCCAGCGCTGCCCACATGACCCATTTTGTCGACCTCCGAAGGATTCCGTCGACCCAAATAGTCAACGTAATTCGTCCAAAACTGGTGCTTGGGGTCAGGAACCCTACCACTCAGCCCTCTGCTCCGAGTACAGTCGTTATGAGTTGTCAAACAGAGTTGCGCGGAATAACGAATAACGAGGCTGTGACTCAATGAATTGACGAGACAATGAAAGTCATGCGATTATATAGCGAGGCAACCTAGCTAGGCGGGAACCTCGGGAACACGAGGTTGAGTGCAGGTTGGGCAAAGGAAAGCCGAAGGCGACGCGAGGTTGCTTCGGCAGCAAGCGAAGCGACCGAACGTGCACTTTCGAAAGTTGGGGTTGTACGCGGTTGAGTAAACCCCAGTAAGGAAAAAAGGGTTTTCCTTACACTACCCCCCCCTTTAAGAAAGGTGGTCAACATCCGCAGCTCGTTTGCGGGCGAGATAATCACCAAGAAGCGGGGAAGCTTCAAGCGAGGCGGATGGCACCCATGTGTCGTCCTCACTGGTGCGGTCAGTCCAACGGATTAGAAAATCCACGTGGCGTCCAGAAACGTCGAGCCGAACACGATGCGCCAAAATCTTGGACGGGTCAAGTGTCGGTTCCGGGACAGGTCGGGCTGTCGGGACGGCGTTCTGGCGCGCGATGTCTGTCGTGGCAGGCACGAACTTGCGAAGTAAGCTGACGTGGAAGGCGTCGTGAATACGCCAGTCGTCGGGTAGTAGCAGCTTCGCGGTGACAGGTGTCACCATCTTGATGATCTTGAAAGGTCCACAGAAACGTGGCCGTAATTTCGATGGGCCGGGCAGATGCAGGTTTTTTGTGTCGAGTAGTACTAGTTGCCCAGCTGTCATGACGATTTCCCGTCGTAGGAGATCCAAGTATTTGCGGGAAGTGGTATTCGCCTTGCGAATTGCGTCCGCAGCCTTCTCGCGAATTTCTTGGAGTTCTGTCACAAATGTTTGTGACCTCGGGACCGGGTTGTCAAGTGTAGTCGTTGTAGGTACCACCGGGTCCATCCCGTAATTCAAGAAGAACGGGGAGTGATTAGTCGTGCTGGATGGCGCGTTGTTGAACGCGAATTCCAGCATGGCGAGCGAACTTTCCCAGCGAGCGGGATCGGGGCAGTTTGTCCTAATCAGTTGCTCCATCGTTTGATTGGTCCGCTCGGTCTGGCCGTCGGTTTGCGGGTGGTATGCCGACGAGAACTGTAGCTTCGTGCCGTACTGCGCCCACGTCTCCTTCCAAAATTTCGATGTGAACTTTGGGTCCCGGTCGCTGATGATCGCCGATGGGATGCCGTGTAGTCGCACAACGGTGGAGATGAAGAGGCGTGCAGTTTCTTCGGCGGTGATTGTCGTGCGACAAGGTGCGAAATGCGCCATTTTTGTGAGGCGATCGACGACGACGAGTACAGCGTCGTTGCCGGACGGCCCAGCTGGCAGCCCCGTGACGAAGTCCATCGTCACCTGTTGCCATGGTCGTTCGGGTGGCTCGAGAGGTTGCAGCAACCCAGCTGGCCGCTGACGTGTCGATTTCATGGCTTGGCACACCCTGCATGAGGACACATATCGCTGCACGTCGTTAGCAGAATCAGGCCAATAATACTGACGGTGCAACAGCTTCTGGGTTTTATCAACCCCGAAATGTCCGGAGAGGTTGGAATCATGGACCTCCTGAATAAGGAGTTCGCGCAGCAGCCGGTAAGCGGGAACCCAAATCCGGTCAGTTCCGGCCTTTAGGTAATAATTCCCTTTCTGCGTCGTCGCCTGCTGGTGATTTCCAGTCGTGAAGAACGGGTCCGTAGTGTAGCCGTGGGTGAATAGTCCCGAAAGAAGCGGGTTCGAATGGGTGATCAGCACAGCAGCGGATTGGACTGTCGGTCGGGTCAGGGCGTCGGCGATGTTGTTGGCGCCCTTCTTGTAGGTGATCTTGTAGTGGAAATGTGACTCCATGTAGTCGAGCCACCGAATTTGTCGCGGGTTGAGGTTGGGTTGCGCTCGAAGGTACTGTAGGGATTTATGATCGGTGCGAACAGTGACGTCGGCGCCAGTCAGGTAGCATCGCCACAGTTTAAACGCGTGAATGATGGCGAGCATCTCCTTGTCGTGAATCGGGTAGTTGCGTTCGGCTGCCTGCAACTTGCGTGACTCGTAGGCGATCGGTTGTAAGCCGTTGCCAAAATCCTGGAGCAGCACTGCGCCGATGGCGAAATCTGAAGCGTCGGTGACGACTTCGAACGGCTTGGATGGGTCGGCGATGCGAAGAACCGGAGGGGATACCAACAACTGCTTCAACTCCTGAAAAGCCGCCTCAGCTTCCTCCCCCCATACGAAGTTCCTGTCCTTGTGCAGCAGGTCGGTCAGCGGGCCGGTTATCCCCGCCATATTCGGGATAAACCGCCGGACATAATTCACAAACCCCAGAAAACTCTGAAGTTCCGTGACATTAGTCGGGGCCTTCCACTCCTGGATGGTCTTGATTTTCTTCGGGTCGATTTTGATGCCGTCGCGTGAGATGACGTGCCCCAAAAACTCCAACTCTTGCTTAAAGAACTCGCACTTAGAGCCCTTGGTGATGAGGCGGTTCTCCTGCAACCGCTTAAACACTGCGTCCAGGTCGCGGAGGTGGTGCTCGCGTGTCCTGCTAAAAATCAGAATATCGTCCAAGTAGACGATAACACACTTGTCCAGCAGGTCGCGAAATACCCTGTTCATGGTGCGTTGAAATGTTGATGGCGCGTTCGTGAGGCCGAAAGGCATCACGGTGAACTCGTAACTGCCGTAGCGGGTTCGGAAGGCGGTCTTGTGACAATCGTCAGCGAATACTCTGATTTGGTGGTAACCGCCGCGTAGGTCAATCTTTGAGAAGTAGCGAGCGCCGTGAAGTTGGTCGAGGAGGTCGTCGGTGCGTGGGATGGGATAGCGAGACTTGATGGTAACCCGGTTGAGCGCGCGATAGTCGATGCACATGCGAATGCCGCCGTCCTTCTTCGGTGTGAACAGGATCGGTGCGGCGAAGGGCGAAGTACTGGGTCGGATGAAGCCCTTCTCCAACAGTGACTCAAGTTGACTTCGAAGCTCCGCGAGTTCGGGCTGAGTCAACCGCCACTGTGTACGAACAGTCGGATGCGCGCCAGGTTCCAGCTGGATTTTGTGGTCTTCGGGTCTCTCGGGTGGCAGGCCAGGTGGCAAATCGTCGGGGAAGATGTCGGGGTACTGTCGAATCAGCTCCGCTAAATCAGGTGGTACAGCTGCGCACAGCTTCTCGATGTCGTTTCCGTCAGTGTCGGCTGCCAACTCGCGCAAGCATACGGCGAACAGTTGCGCACCCCTGTTGACGTGGCGTGTAATCGTGATGGCTTTGACGCATGTAGACTCGATGCAGTCCGGAGTCCAC